ACACCTACCATACAATATATATGGAGTGCCCCTCCCGGGGAGGGCGGTGAAAATATCCGTGCGTAGACCCACACGCGCGTGCTAGCCTAGTTGCTATCTAATCTTCATGCAACATCAAACGAACATAATGACGTGCTTAAAATACGTTAAGCTGCTGCGGGTAATACTGTTATGCAATATACTTGTGCGTATAATAATGTTCCCCGCATTGCTTGAAACAAAATCGCAAGGCAGCCTACTCTCAATCTCTCCTACACTTATCTCCCCTTTCCGCCTCCTCTTCTCTTAATGTTTTTCCCTCTCTCTTTCTCTGTATCTTTTTCGATCACTCTCGATTGTCCCTCGCTCTTGTTCTTCTCGACCTCTCTCTCTCTCTTTCTCTCTTTCTCTCTCACCCCTTTTCTCTTTATATAAAGAGGAAATATGACTAAATACGAATATATGATGACGAAACATATTATGGTAGGCCATAATTATATAAAAACGACAATTGTGCTGGTGCTATAAACACTGCGCCTGTCTGAGCTGTTTAACTCTAGTCGTCATCCTACTTTCTACGTCTCTTGTAAAACCAGCAGCAGAACCTAGAAGTATGGCTTCCACTGGAGAACAAGGGCCGAGTGAAAGTGTTGGTCACACGAAACCTCGTATCTCCATGACTGGTGGCCACCACACATTTTCGCATAGTGCCAAGCAAATGACCTTAGATCATCTTGCGGATGTGCGAGGCAGTAACCGCACACCCCCGCCATCCCCCACAGTACCTTTGAGGATTGATGATTGGAATAGGTGAGGTTTGCTAGAGCCAGGGTCCCTGTATAGAATCCTTGTCTATAGAGGGACCCTAGCTAGAGCCAATCACATAGAACTTGAACTTGGCAAAATTTCATGACTCAACTGTGTAATGATGAGCGACGGGCGCAGCTCTTGATCGACGTCCATAGTGTGGTAGGGGTGGGTCTGAGACAAGGCTTCCACGGATAAGTGCCAAAAAAAATCACGTTAGGGTTATTTACGATCATTAGTTAAGCTTATTTTTTAATTTTGCTCCAAAATCTATAGGGGGACAGCTGCCCCCCTTGCCCCTCCTCCTACAGACTACGGCCCTGCATGTCAGTAATACGGGTTTCCTAAATACGCTGCAAATCTATAGCGTCTTTCGTCATATTTACCTGATTACCATATACATTATGTACTAAAAACTTTGCTTTCTATTGGTCCTATAAACTGATTAAACACTTACTACTTTTTGTTATACTATATATTCCCTTATGGCGTGCAAATGATTGTGGAGCAATCGTGCAAATTTTTGTTATGCTATCTTTGTGCTATACCAATATAAGTATTAACACAGCTGAACTTAAAGATTATTGCATTTATCTTCTGTTGATTATTGCTTGATGAGACGTGTACTCCAATGACACTATAAAAGATTACTTTGCGCACTCCGCATGTCTTTCAGTGTGCAGCACGCTGTTGTTGGAATGTTTCAAGCTAAGAAGCTCACATGCGAGGAGATGACCATGCTCTGTGCAAGTATTAGGTAAATAAAGATCGATTAACAAATTCACCTAAAATATATACTATTAATATATATATATATACTCATATTATATATATTTATACTACGTGGAGATTGTATGACGTGCATTTAAGTTGGCAAATCCATGTTATTGTCATCAAGTTATGAAGGATAAAATTTATACCTTTGAATAATTGTGAAGCTCGTGGTCTTATTTAATCTACCAGCTAACCAATTGGAATCACCATGCTACCGACGAGCGGTTATTGATCTAAGATTTATTAGATAATTTTATAATTTCAGGAATATGTCAAATTCTGAAGTTGGTCCACTCCTGTTTGAATATTATCAGGTACCCAATCAATGATTAGCAATTACTCAAACTTCTTCTTCATAATAATAATAATAATCATCATCATCATCATCATCATCTTAATAATAATCATAATAATCATAATAATAGTGTATATATCTATATTAAACACTCCTGTTATTATTATGTGCCAACGTCTTTAATGCATATAATTTAGCATTATATAGTTATTCTTAGAGTTTATAAAAAATGCTGAACAAATATAAAGAGTTTACTTTTACATATCTCACCGGCAGCTTCTTGTGAACTTTTTCAGAATAAGCTTTTAATGAAGGGAATGGTTATACTACGGGAAAAGATTAGAAAGAATGAAGGTATACACGAGACCAGCTATATAGGCTAATGATGCCGGCAACTATTGCACACGCGCTACACTTTATCTCCTGGTCAATTAAACTAACTATCCGCAAACAATTCTATATTATATATTCATATTTAGTTATATGTTGTTGTTGTTGTTGTTGTTGTTGTTGTTATTGTTGTTGTAACGTTGTTGTTGTTGTTGGCGGTGGCGGCTGCTGCTGCTGGAGGTGGTGGTGCTGCTGGAGGTGCATGGTGGTGGTGGTGCTGGTGGTGGCGATGGCGGTGGCGGTGACGGTGGCGGTGGCGGCGTTGTTAGTGGTGTTGGTGGTGGTGTTTGTTGTTGTTGTCGTCGTCGTCGTTGTTGTTGTTGTTGTTGTTGTTGTTGTTGCTGCTGCTAGTGCTGTTATCGTCGTCGTCGTCGCCATCGTCAATGGTGGCCTCATCGTTTTAAACAAAGTGCTTTCTAACTAGTAAATTATAAAATGCCCTTTTCAGGTATGGCGCTGATATACAGTATTGGACACGTTTGGAATAGTTTCTACAAAGATATTCTGTGTAATCTTCAGCTGTTGTTTTACCCAATTCCTGTAAGTGTAAGGATTACATCAGGAGTGAATAATAATATACATATATAATTATTCAATCCTGATTAATGGTGTGAACTCCTGTTTGAAGCGTGTACATGCGCAGCGTCTTGCAGTTGCGTACTTCCCTGCTAAACATCTAGATAGGAAACGAACCGCAATGGAACCGCGGTTGAACTGGCGGAAAAAATTAAAAGTGCTTGTTAAAAATCCGTTAAAAAATCTGGCTGAGATTCGAAGCGAAATAAGTGATGAGCGTTCGCACCACGGTCACTCGTGGTCAAGGATCCCCGTGGTTAAGAAAGTCAGTTTGAATAGTAATAAGTTGCTATTCCTATAGGTCGAGTCCGTACACTCTGCGCTTAGGTAGAGAACGCGATAGCGTGTAGAAGTGGGAGAGCAGATCTATATATGGCATCCGCAATTATGTAAAATTAGAGAAATATTCTCGTTATTTACGCGAATATCGCGTAAAATCGTGCGATTCGCGGTTTGTATTCGACGTCATACAAATACTTCTAGTCCAATACATCCAAAAGTCTCATATGATGACCCAAATATTGTAACGATTATTTTGTGTATTTTATCTAAAGGTGAAAGGATTAACCATTAGACAAACGACACTGATAAGCTTCAGGGATGTTGTTGTGCTTAAAGTAAAACTATTTGGTAAGTTTCCCGCGTAAAATAGTCGTGGTTCTTTGAGCCTTGTAGTTCTGTTATTTTGTTATATGTTGTATGTTGGTTATAGTATTTCCAGAGTTCCTCTTGCCTTCCTCGAAATTCAACTGATTAGATGCAAAGTGAAAAAAAATTGTGTTGATAGTATGTGTTTCTATTATACGTTTTATATCAAAGGCCCCCAGCAAAATCATGCAATTTATCAATATATATGCAATCGGGATTATTTGCAGGCAATTTGACTTTATATAGTGAATCAGTGATTTAAAGGAGGCCAGTCCTGGATCACACTACGTACCCCCTAAAAACACCCGTGATAATTAATCTTGAGTTTAATTCGTTCTGATTTCCACTAATCATTGCGTATCTTTATATATGGCAATCACTGCGGCTAAATTCGTTTCTCGTATTTTCCTGCATAAAACCTACCATGAAGCTGGTTTACACTGCCGACATTATGTTGTCAAATTGGCGAGTTGGACCAATTTCGCAATTCGGCAACACCGAGTTGGCGAAAATGGAACATATATGTTCTAATCTCCCAACTAGTTGCTATCGACCAGTTGCTGGCGCGACTTTCGCGTTTACACTGCCGATTGTCGTTTGTATGGTTGGGAAGTTGGGGGGGGGGGGTTAATTGTGTTAGTGTAAACCCAGCTTTACACGTCTAACCAATACGTGGCGCTGTATTTGTAAATGCGAGCGATGGGACGATGTCAACACAACCTGTAATCCATGTTGCAGACGCTTTATTAGAAGCACGGCAAGAGGTTCCTGCAGCTGTAAAGCAAATGCTACTAGTCCTACAGAGCGTCCATGACTTTGACACAGTTCCACACGAGAACTACCTTAAACTTGAATCGCTTGTCGGGATGACGGTGAAACCTCATCTTGGATACATGGGCCTGTACGTAGGACAATCAGATCCACTGATACCCGTGGGTGAACTAGTCACATTGCGTCCGGACAAGAATGCTAGTAAGAATATTATTATATATAAATGTTTTTTTTGTTTGTTTGGAGCACTTGGAGTGATTATTTTTTTCTATTTTTTCAAGAAAAAAAAAATCTGAGCGAACACGTTAGTTTTCACTGAAATATGAGCATCGTACCTCATTCCAAAACGATAAACATGATCATTTTAACTGCACCTAAGAAGTACGTATATAATCGTCTAATTATGATGTGAGCCATATAGGCCTATGTGAATCGTTGGATATTTGCCCCACACATAACATCGGTTGCGAATGGGAGAGGGTAAATTACGTTACAACAATAGACATAATAACAATAACAATAATGAACAATAAAACAACAACAACAATGCTATTCTCATTCGCAACAATATTGCAGATGGAGCACCTATTATATCAGGGGCGGGAAGCCAACAACTGAGGCCGACCAGTCTACCACCGATGTCACTGAGTCAAAAGTCTGACAAATCGAAAATCGCATTTCGTCGAATGCCAAGTCAGCATGTTCTTAAACTAGAGACGTTAGTCGAAAATGACGACACGAAGGTGCGACGCCACAGTTTCTCTGAGCAGAGCAAGACCCACTTCAACTTTGATACTACCAGCGAATTTTAGCAAATCTGTGTAAATATGTTATTATTTTAGATGCAAATATAAATAAACTTGCCAACAATAATTTTTACGTGACTCCTGACACGTGGAATTTACGGATCACGTTAAAACTCACTTCGATTTGACACACTTCTGTTAAACCTTGGAATGATTACTCCAAGGTAAAACTATCTGCGACTTTTCTTGCGGATATGTGCAGTGCCGTACATTTATACACAGTGTGCGCCCGTCTTCTGCGAGTCTATATCTATGTAGGATACCGTGTAGCTGCCGTAGCTAGCTGTTTGCTTACTGTATGTCGTAGTATGACGCGTTTAGACCTCAGAATTTTGCGACCGATAATTTTTTTAACGTGAGCAAATACTTATTAACACGCTACGACGCTTTACATCGGACCGAGCCGGCCCATATGTACCTACGAATACCGAATTTTGGTCTATCTAAAGCCGGATAAGCGCAAAACCGGCTCGGGCAGTCGCACGAGAAGTTTCTAATAACATTTGAACGTGTTTGGCAAGTCAGTTCGATCCTGTATCAACTCCGCATGTAAAAATTCACATCAATTTGGCACTGAAGAAAATAGGACAGCTATAGCACGTTGCGGTGACATACCGATACCATATAATGAATCACATTATATATAATCAAATGAATGATATATATAGTGCCAAAGATTAATACATTATTATTGATTGAATTTAGTAGTACATATAGTTCAGGTGCAGTATATAATTACCTGTAGAGTGCGCATGTATAGTGTATATATACGTAAAACAATTTCATACAACGCTGTTGAACTTCATGTGTATGATGTGGCAGTGTCATGGCATGAGTATGTATGATGGCATGAGTTTCTATATAGTTTTCTATATGCCTTTAAAATGTAATTTTAAATGCGGCGAGTCTTAAATATTTTTAAACTCGCACTGTGAAATTTCTAGTATTGCCTGTGTGTACACTTTACTCTCGATTTAACAGAAATGAGAATGATGTACGTGTTAGTATTTGTTGACATGAGGAATTTTTTTTATGTTGTCCATGTCTAAGAATTTTGATTTTAATATGTTAATTGGCTATATGTCTTTTATGTTCGTGGTTATATAAGGCGCCGAACTTCCTGGACAATATATAAACATACATACACACACACACACACACGCACGCACGCACGCACGCACGTGTATATATATATATATATATATATATATATATATATACAATTTAATACTGGGCTTAAATATGAACATATAGATCCCTGAAAAACCTATAACATGTAGTATTTCAACAATATTTGCACATAACATGTATATACATATGATATTATTGCAATACAACGGTTTTCGCGCATACAATAGCATGCGATGATGCGAGGGGTGTCGAATGACGTCACGCAGCAGTGCGAAGCGACGGTCCCAGCCTGGGACAGTCTATGCGGCCATTGTTGGACTTGCTGAGTAAATGAAGGTTTACATATATACGTTGGTTATTTTAGTCTGAGTACACGACTTGTCGATTTGGGGCAATAGGACGTAATATTATCCTTCGACCGAATGGTTCTAACTAGGTCACAAAACGACAAACTGACTCACTGATTGAAGGCGGGATTGTTATCGACTCTGAGAGGTGACGTCATCAAGTCAACGAACATGACGAACGATCAGCCATGTTTTTGAGGTGGGAACTAGGGAAGGAAGAACAGAACTAATATTGAAGTAATGGATTTAAACTGCACCGCCAGAGTAGTCCAAATCGCGGAAGGTCAGTGCTACTTTATTGTTTAGTCTTATATAAATCCGCAACTTAGACAAGATAAATGACTCAAATAGAACGCCACATTGCGTACGTATGTTCATAATAAATTAATGTTGGTACAGTAAGCGTAGTACTACTAGTAGTAGTACTACTACACTAGTAGTAGTGCTCATAGGGTCTATGTCCCCCAGGGTACTGCCGGAACGTACCCTGGGTACGGTCCGGTATACCGGAAGGTTACCCTGCGGTTACATTTGATTGGTTAGGGTTATGGATTAGGTTAAGGGTTCGGGTTAGGGAGGAGGCGATAGGCGACTCCCTAGACTCTAGTTAGTGGAGGTAGCGTCAGGTACGCTCCGGCATAATTAGATGTAACAGGTGTACGTTCCCGGCAGTACCCGGGGACATAGACCCCTCTCAGCAGAGTAGTAGTAGCACTGCCAGCAAGAACCAGTCCGCTGCAGCTACAGCACACACACGGTCAATGCTGTCATATATACATCTAAGGACTGGTTCTTGGCTGCCAGTGCTATCTACTACTGCTGAGAGGTCTATGTCCCCCAGGTTACTGCCGGAACGTACCCTGGTACTATCTAATATGCCGGACCGTACCTCGCCTACTCCACTAACAAGTCTAGGGAGTTGCCTACGCCTAGCAATAGCATGGTTAAATAAAGTGTTATTTCAGACATTACTATCATGGCCTAACTTGTGTCACAATCTCATATACAGGAGTTAGCATAAGGCTACTATTACAGCTGCATTTTGTTTATTTATGCTGTTATCGATGTAATGTATGCTTTGTTAATTATCGAAATAAATAAATCAAAAAATATCAAAAAATATAAATAATAAAATATGGTTTTGATTTGCAATTTGGCATACATAGTCATAGACTACAGGAACCAGAAGAAAACATAGGTACAAATAATGGGAACACAACTTGACAAAAAATGGAGATACAAAATTGGAACATACAAATACAATGTAACATATAATGGTAGTACAATGAGACATAGTACAATGGGAGTACTACATCTAAGATGTTATATATAGACAATGGCCGTGTGTGTGCTGTAGCTGCAGCGGACTGGTTCTTGCTGCCAGTGGTAGTAGTAGTAGTAGTAGTAGTAGTAGTACTAGTACCGTACAGTATGTTACGTAGTCAGCGCGCCAACACGACAACACGCAGCACATCGAATAACTAATATAGTTTACTTTGTGTTACAGTCACTGGCAGCAAGAACAAGTCCGCACCAGCTACAGCACACACGCCACCATTGTCTATAATAACAACGTTTGCAACGTTTTGGGTTCAAGGATAGAGAACATGGATCCCAATAAAACCAATGTCATTTACATCAATATAAATATAATATTATATCAATATAATAGGCTAAGGTTATGGTTAGGGTTAGGGTTAGGGTTAGGCACATTGGTTTTATTGGGACCCATGTTCTCTATCCTTGGGCCACGTTTTGCAAACGTTAACAAAAGTCGTGGCGTCAATGGCGGCGTGTGTGCTGTAGCTGGTGCGGACTTGTTCTTGCTGCCAGTGGTTACAGTATGGTCATTTAAAACGTGCTGATGCATGTTATGTCGAAACGGGCATACTGCGGTAACATGCCAGTTGGCCTACTCCGATTTCGCCTACTCCATTTTGTCTACTCTTAGTCTTAGTCTTAGAATCGGCAATATTCCCATTTCGCCTACTCCCATTGTACTATGTCTCATTGTACTCCCATTATATGTTACATTGTATTTGTATGTTCCAATTTTTTATCTCCATTTTTTGTCAAGTTGTGTTCTCATTATTTGTACCTATGTTTTCTTCTTGTTCCTGTAGTCTATGACTATGTATGCCAAATTGCAAATCAAAACCATATTTTATTATTTATATTTTTTGATATTTTTTGATTTATTTATTTCGATAATTAACAAAGCATACATTACATCGATAACAGCATAAATAAACAAAATACAGCTGTAATAGACTAATAGTAGCCTTATGCTAACTCCTGTATATGAGATTGTGACACAAGTTAGGCCATGATAGTAATGTCTGAAATAACACTTTATTTAACCATGCTATTGCTAACTGACAGGTCCATCATGTCCGCCATCTTCACCACCAGTTCCCATCACTTATAGTGTACTTGCGCTGGACGCAAAGTAGTACCATATGTAACATCCCCCTTCCCCACAATGAAAAGTTGAGCATGATGAAAACAGTATGATAAACGTTTTAAAGCATATGACAATTGTACCTAAATAATAAATCCTCTTATAAAACACATCTCAGAACCAACAACTTTTTTGTGTGACTTCAACAAACATCAATCAAACAAACACGACTCAAACTTTTGAATGGCTTCATTCCTTGCGTTGCTGTGTGAGCCGCAAGCTCTGTGAATGCTTACTTTTAACTTTTGCTTTACGAATTCGTAACACAATGCAAAACCTCATATATAACAATTGTTTACACTTGCATGAATTATGATAAAGATGTACCTAACTTCAATTCCTGTGTTTCACATATATACAAGCTTTCTCACTTGGGTTGGTGGAGTTTTTGTCTTGTGACAATGTCTCCCATCTATTCTCTTCAATGTATTACAAATTTCAAGCAATCTGTATCACTTTTAACACTTGCCAATTTGACATTATACCTGACAGTGTCCTATTCACATTATACAACATTCCACTCCTAAAAGTCTAGTATGCTATTACATGTGTGTTATTATTTTCTATAACAAAACCTAACCATATCTCAATCTTTCCAATGTCCTCTTTAACAATCCTTCTATTTTCTTTTAATAACTGTAATATATTGTGCAGTAACTCCAAAGCAATGTACAAAAATGAGTCATGTGTATGACACACACTAGCGGATTAAGGGCGGGGCAACAGGGGCACGTGCCCCGGGCCCCCCACATTTGGGGCCCCCCACATTTAGAGTATCCTAAAATTTACAAAACTCGTAATTGTGATCCACAAAATTCTTAGCATGTAACGTTGAAGTGATGCGTTTCCCATGCTGTTTCTCTGACTGAATTTTGCTGTTCAGCTGAAGGACACTTTCCCTAATACCGAAATTACTCTGAGAATCTATCTTTCATTGATGGTCTCGAATTGTAGCGGTGAAAGGTCATTTTCAAAACTCAAGTTGATTAAAAATCACATGAGAACCACGATGAGCCAACAGAGACTGGTAAACCTCAGTATTCTCGCTATCGAAAGTAACATTTTAAATTCGTTGAAACACGATGAAATACTCTCTGAATTTGCAAGCATGAAAGTGCAGAAAAAATACAGACTATAGGGCCCCCACACAATTGCGTGCCCTGGGCCCCCCACACGCTTAGTCCGGCCCTGATGACACAGATGCCTAAATTGCTCAATAAGGTGATTGGGCTTTACAATTCTGCGCCCTGATCTTGTGTAGTATGCATCACCACGTGTTTCCTGCCGATCTTGTGCCCGATCTGGAGGGAGTGGTGGCGCCTTGGGTGGTCTGTGGTCACCCTCAGAGTTCACCTGCTGAGGTGGACAACCCAAAGTTTTTACGTCTCTGCGGTTGTGCCTTCTTAAGCCCCCATAAGGAGTCTGAATGAGGTAGGATCTTTGTTCTCTGCATGCTTCCACGACTGTTGCTGGGCTCCACAATCCTGTATTGTGTTCATATGTGAGCACCTTCTCTCCTGTTCGCAGTGGAGGAAGTTCCCTCACACCTCTGCACTGCAGTCATAGTTTTCTTTCTGTTTGTTCTGCCTTGCAATCAGCTTCTCGTACGTGTCTGTCTGGGCAGCCGACAAACTGCTCAACTTGTCTGACAGGGTGTTTCTCATCTTTCTGCCTTGTAGAAGCTCAGCTGGCGATGGCAGGTCTGTGTTCACAGGGGTGGTTTCGAAGGCTCAGAAATGCGAGGTTTAGGTCGCCGTTGGATTTCTTCATCTTTACCAATGTCCTCTTCACGGTCTGTATGGCACGCTCAGCAAGTCTGTTACTTTGAGGATAGTGAGGACTGGAAGTGACGTGTTGAAATCCTCATTCCTGTGCAAAGGCTTTGTACTCTTGGCTGGCAAACTGGGGTCCATTATCACTGATCACCCTCAGGGGTATCCCTTGCTCACTGAATATGTCTTTGGTGATTTGGACAACTGATCCGCTTGTGCATCTCCCTCTGACTTTCCTGATGAAGGGAAACTTTGAATGGTAGTCTGTAATGATCAAGTATTCATCTCCATACAGATGAAACAGGTCGGTTCCAACTGTTTCCCAGGGCCTCGAGGGAAGGTCATGTTGAAGTAGGGGCTCCCTTTGCTGGGCTCTCTGGTGTTCTCTGCATGATGTGCAGGATCCAACCATGTGCTCGATGTCTTTGCTGAGTCCGTCCCAGTACACACAGGACTTGGCTCGGAGTTGTGTTTTCGTCATGCCCTGGTGACCTTCATGAGGTTTCTTGGACGCAAAGTAGTACCACTTGTAACAGCGGCTAGAAAATTATCGAGGATGAAAACACAAAAAGCATGGCTAACACACATATTTCCATTGTGGTCCAACATAACATTGTACATACTATAAACTATAGCAAATATATCCACGATCCTATAAATGATTATTTAGGGAAAAAACCGATCGTAGATGAAATAGGAATGGGGTAGATTTTGAACGTAGACGAATTGGGAGTAGGCGAAATGGTAGCTCTAGGACTATAGCCCGCTACGCTATACGGTATATGCGGGCTATAGTCCTAGAGCTAGCAAAATGGGTGTAGGTCAACTGGGAATTTTGCTGTATGCGAAATGGGAATTTTGCCTTGGCGAAATGGGAGTAGGCCAACCGGGAATAAACCCATACTGCAAGTGCAAGGCGTAAGTTGGTGTACTGTACTAGCCAGTAGACTGTATTTAGACTTCACGTAACATTCAGGGAAAGACATTTGATACACGTAGTATCACCATGAGATTCTTGGACTAGTAGCAGGGGTGGCACCAGTTATTCCCTGACATAGGCTATAATTTAGCTGCTATTAAAGGTCTCTGACAGAGCATCTAAGATCACTGGCAGTGGGAAAGGGAGTAAGGTCCCAGACGGAAGGGTAGGGAGTGCTAACGTCCCCAATGGAGGAAGGGGCCTGAACATACATTTGTATGAGTAGCGAGTAACATTTGCTCCATACTTCATACTTCGTAAATGGGGGGTAGGCCTGTGAAAATCGACCGGGGTCTTCTTCAGGGTGTTGCCTCATCATTTTTACCAACAAATATGTGCTTTGTTGTCAGAAAGGCGGGCCAAAGCATCCTTTAACCGAGGGTACTCACCTGTTTTTGATTTTCTCATCATTGTAACGCTCGCGTATTTCACGTCATACCACTTATATTAACTCTGCTACGGCCCTATCTGCCCGTGTATTAGACACGCGTCTCACATACGCTTCGGCTGATGCATACAATCTAATACCCCATACAGACTGCAAAATTTGAACCTACATTAAACTGGTGCGGGTTAGACACGCGCCAAATCATAGCGTACAGACTGCAAATTTGATCCTACATTAAATGAGTCATCAGTTCTCAGTTCAGCTTGCAACGTCACCCCGCAGACAGAAATTGTACAATTACGTGACCTAAATAAGGCTATGCGCATGCGTATTGCGATTTAGAACCGGGTCTGCTCCGCGTGTTTCATCCCACATCATATGAGTCACCGGTTGACTGTGCATGCTCAGTTCAGCTCGCTATGTCACCCCGCAGACAGCTACTGTACTTTTACGTGACCTAAATAAGGCTATGCACATGCGCATTGCGAAATTTGGCAGCGCTATGCACCGGATTGTGTACAGACACAGCTTAGAGCGGGCTTGGCCCTTCGTCATTTGCGGGGCCAAATTGGTGCGGGCCAGCGCGTATTTGGATATTGGAGCGGGATAGCGTGTACACACTGCAAAAATTTGTCGCACATGCACCTGGCCCGGACCAGTTTGATGGGGTATCAAATTTGCAGTCTGTACGGGGTATGTGTTGACTATCAAAGCATTGCGGATGAAGAGTGAATGAAAGTTTTTTTCACATATATATAGCCTTTCCTTCCCATTCTGGCACCACTTGATTAGTATTACAAGTACAAATACTATTTGTGAAGAATCACGTCAAAGATGATAGAAATGTCTCGTACACGCGTTTATTTTAGTCGAACACTGCTATGTAGTGTCAACAGCGGTCAACAGCGGTAAACTGAAAGTATACAAAAAAAACCATCTTGAGTAAACTCTAACTCGAGTACGCATAAATACTGAGCTAATACTTAAAATAACATTCAGAAATACTAATGTTCTTCAGCTTAAAACAATATATTACAGTGCCTTTTAGCGTATACTAAACTCCAATGCCGCTGCGCTGCCACCAACGTCGGCAGATCTCGAGAACTACCAGTATGGCACGACAGTCTACATGTAACTTCTCTACTGACAGAACAAATTGGCATGAATGGATTAGCCGTAACCATAGCATACCCACTCAACCGGTGGGGGACCAGAAATTATCCGTTTACACATGTACATAGTGGGATTCTAGCGGAGATCCATGCAGCGAAATTACGGCTCACACTGGCGCGCCAACCTAATTATCTGGGTACCAACTCACTAGGACCAGAAATCCTCGCTAACCTCTCGCGACACTATTCATGGTGGCATACAAAGATAAACCTAGATCGGGCCGTTGCATGCCTCCACCTTCGCAAAGCGCCCTTCTAAACAAAGGAGCGACTACTAACACCAATATAAATATCGCGTGACAAACACTTCACAGCAACATTGTCATCACTCAGTGATATCCACCAGAAGCATACCTCTGGCTCGGACGAATTGAAAACTAACAAAAAATACAACCTTAAATTCCCGTAGTACACGCGGTCCGGACCAAAACGATCGACGCGATATTTTCAACCACCGATCGATCCAAGCTGCGCGAAGCGCGCCGTATCCTCTCCAATTTCACCCACGAGAATGCCAATTGAACATATGACAAACGCAAAATCTCGCATAAGCTGCCGCCAACTCGAATCGCGCAACAACTCCGGCGCAAAGGCTCCAGCGATATAACCCAGCCCACCGCAGACAAAGCGACTGCCTCCGGAAATTAACACCAATCACTTCACGAGACCGATCAGTGCTACATGACCCCAGGGCCACCTGACTGGAGCTCTTTAACACAAACTGTCTTACAACAGTTTACAGACATCGTTTCATTTTGACCAATAAAACATCCCCCC